CGCGTGTGCGCGTGTGCGCGTGTGCGCGTGTGCGCGTGTGCGCGTGCGCGTGTGCGTGTGCGTGTGCGTGTGCGTGCGCGTGTGCGTGTGCGTGTGCGTGCGTGCGTGCTTGCTTGCTTGCTTGTTTGTTTGTTTGTGTGCCACGATCAAATCTTGACTGGTCAACATCCTGGAATAAGGACCCTAATCAGGCTTGCATGACTTCCTCATAAAGAGCTGATCCCGCACCAGAAGGTTGGAGAGAAAAACCTACTCCCCACACTAGTTAATGGGCATGATCAGCCTTTTCCCGACCTCCTTCAGAGACGGCGTTAAATGTAAGCGAAAGAGCCCGCAGAATGTCCATGGCAAGGTTGCTGCTCAGGGCAATAGTCTTCTTTGACCAAGTTGGCGCAGAGAACGCCTGAAGGAGAATATAATCTTCAGACCTCGCTGCGTGCCACAGGCCGTCGGGACCTTCGCGTCCCTTGGCACTGTTAGGCCTGGTAAACGTTGAAGGAAACTTCATTGACCTCCCTCCAACAAGCATGGAAGCTGAGAAAAGGTTATTGTAAGACTACTTTCCGATTGTTTCATTGCAAAAAAAACTAGACCACGGTTGGCCCGAAAGCAGAACATCGCAAGCGAGGTCGGCCCAACGCCTGGGACATGCGCAAGTTGCTCGAGCAAGTTGCTTTGCGCAAGTTGCTCTGTGCAAGTTGCAGTGTGTGCAAGTTGCTCTGCGCAAGTTGCTCTGCGCAAGTTGCTCTGGGCAAGGTGCTCTGCGCAAGGTGCTCTGCGCAAACTGGACTGGTCTGTGCAAGTTGGTCTGACCAAGTTGCTCTGCGCAAGTTGGTCTGTGCAAGTTGCTCTGTGCAAGTTGCTCCGCGCAAGTTGCTCCGCGCAAGTTGGTCCCTGCAAGTGGCTCCCTGCAAGTTGCGCTGTGCAAATTACTCCGTGCAAGTTGCTCCCTGCAAGTGGCTCTGCTCAAGCTGCTCTGTGCAAGTTGCTCTGTGCAAGTTGCTCTGCGTAAGTTGCTCTGCCCAAGTTGCTCCAGGCAAGGCGCTCTGCGCAAGTTGCTCTGCGCAAACTGATCTGTGCAACTTGCTCTGCGCAACTTGCTCTGCGCAAGTTGCTCTGTGCAAGTTGCTCTGCGCAAGTTGCTTTGGGCAAGTTGCTCCGCGCAGCTTGCGAAGCCCGCCCGCGGACCAGGGGGGAATCAAACCCACGACCCGCCGGTCCCGGGAGCAGGCGCGCGAACCACGAGACAACTCCCGAGGACCACTTTGAACAACAAAAGTTGCAAAAAACCTCGAGTTTTTGAACCTCGACCACGCCGATCCCCGCAGAGGGTCGCGCGGGAACCGCAGAAATCGTAAAAAAAACTCGAGTTTTTGCACCTCGACCACGCCGATCCCCGCAAAGGGTCGCGCGAGCATGTTAAAAATCGCAAAAAAAAAACTCGAGTCTTTGCACCTCGAGCACGCCGATCCCCGCAAAGGGTCGCGCGGGCACCGCAGAAAACGCCAAAAAAAACGAGTTTTTGCACCTCGAGCACGCCGATCCCCGCAAAGGGTCGCGCGGGCACCGCAAAAAAACGCCAAAAAAAACTAGAGTTTTTGCACATCGACCACGCCAATCTCCGCAGAGGGTCGCGCGGGCACCGCAAAAAAAACGCAAAAAATAACCTTGAGTTTTTGCACCTCGACCACGCCAATCCCCGCAGAGGGTCGATTTTCGTGAAGTATCGTCGGCACTACCCCGCCGCCCTAACAAGAGATTTTAACTCCTCGCAAGTCAGTTGCACTTGATTCCTTGCACTTGCAACTTGCACTTGACTCCTTGCACTTGCAACTTGCACTTGACTCCATGCGCTTGGCTCCTTGCAGCTTGCAATGACTCTCATGACTCCTTGCAATGACTCCTTGCAATGACTCCTTGCAATGACTCCTTGCAATGACTCCTTGCAATGACTCCTAGCAATGCCTCCTTGCAATGACTCCTTGCAATGACTCCTTGCAATGACTCCTTGCAATGACTCCTTGCAATGACTTTCATGATGATGATTCCTTGCAATGACTTTCATGATGATGATTCCTTGCAATGACACCTTGTAATGACTCTCATGAGAACAACTCAAGAGAACCCAGCGGAAGAACCCTTCGCCATGCTTTCGGGAAAACTTCACAGTTCTGCGTGGTTGCCTCGAGGCATATGAGGCTTGCTGTTGGGAAGGGAACGAACCTGGTGCCTTCCCCACAAGCACCAGTGGCCCCGGAAAGTGGCAAGGCATTTTGAGTGTCTCAAAATCATTGAGGAGATCCGGGTATCCCTTTAAACCAAGGTCTTGCCAAAAATGGCCCAGGTTTATGCGTTGGTGCTTATAGCCCGGAGGCAAGGCTACAGACCTACCTTTTAGCCACCTGAGTAAGCAATCAAAACCCGGCAACGAATGGTCCACCCCAAAAACGACAAAGAATCCAAAATGCAGCTCTCCGCTCCTTCTGGGCTTTGAGGACGCTCGAGTCATTGCGAAGCCGAGGCTTCGGCTGTTAATCCACGGGCAAAAGGTGCGTTTTGCCAGAGGCCCCGCCAGCCCATCGCCTCGCGGAAGGGTCCGTTGGTGTGGATGTGCTTGTATTTATTTTGCTTAGCTGCTTGTGTGTACATCTATATTTATGTGTATATATATATATGGGTGTTTTGCTTCTTGGGAGACTCCCAAAATCAGTGTTTTCAAATTGGCTTCCCAATAAAAGCACGAAGAAGGTGTACCCTCAAAAAAAAATATAATATACGTATAACATTCATGAAGGTACGCAACGTGACAGGCACAGATTCCGCGGAGTGGGAGACCACGGGAAGAATTCAGGAGTGGGAAGGAGTGGGAAGGGGGAAGCACAGATCGGAGCAAAAAAATAGGAGAAAAAAAAGAAAAAAGGTGTGTTGAGGGCTGCTGGCAGTCAAAAGCCATGCAGCGCACACCGCGTCAGGTGCGTGCACATGCGCGTGCTCCTGCATGCGCACGTGCGGGCACACCACTCCGCTGCCGACGGGGCGGAATTGTTTGCTGGCTTTAGCAGGGCTGCTTGTTTTTCCAGGTTTGCCAGGCTGGCCTGGAAGCTCAACTTGTTTCCTGACTATGGACACTTTTAATTTTGAAAGGACACGCCGATTGCTGGTCAAACAGAAAAGTAAGCTTGAGCCATCCCCCCATGTGCGCATTAGCGGACCCACAATCTACAAGCGACTTGCCAATGCAGTTGTCTTTCAATGGGGTGCTCTCTTCAGAAATCTGCGTAAGCGTAAGTGCCTGTGAGGCCATGCCCACGCTTAATGGGTCCATGCATGTTCACTTCCGGCCAAGCCGAGCGCCGCAAAATGGCACTCTTGCTCCCGCAAGTAAGGTTGGAAAGAGCCCACTGAGTGGAAATGTAGGGGCCTTGGCGGCGTCTCGCTTCAGAGCCGAAAAAAAGAATCGGATTCTCGGATTCTCGGGACAGGCAAATGCTCTGAGGGTGCCCCCGGGCTTTGTGCGGAAAAGTCCTCAGGCCATTGGCGGCCTTCAAGCCGAGCCGAGCTGAAGATCAGCCAAGCGCAAAAGTGTACGCAGGGCGTACGGACTGCCCAGTGGCCTGAAGTGAGCAAGAGTTGGAGTGAAGATCCAGGGTCGGGAACTTGTGGCGGTTCGGGTGGCAAATGCCCTTTTGCCAAGACCGGGGCCAAGATTTGATTCTAAGCTCAAAGGCTCCCAAAGAACAAGCCCACAGGTTACAACCGAGAACAAAAGCGGATAACCCTTTGTAAAGTCCCGCTGGGGCATACGGGGTTCCAAACAAAACCTAAAAACAACGGCGTGGGTCCCGCGAAAAGCGGAATCACACCCGCTTCCAGCCCAATTCGGGGGCGCGAGCCTTCGCGGGGCTCGTTCTTGGCGGATCGGCCTCACAAGCAGATGTCCTGCTGACTGAGGTTCGCTTGGGAATCAGACCCCTTCGGTTTGGCTTCCATGTTGATCTGCAGGCGTTGAACTATGCAGGCAATGTAGTTGTTTGTGTCCAAACAGGGGCTGCTCACTTCCCACTTTGTTTTGCGCTCCCAGCTGCAAAATGAATCAGGCTCCCATAAAAGGCTCTGTGTGGCTGAGCTCGTTCTTCCCGGTCACCTCGCTTTAGATGCACCAACTTCGGAGTCCACCAATTGCATTCTTTGGGCTTGTCCTTTTCCAAAGGGAAAAGCAACAGGGGCATCAAAGACAGCCTCTACACTCCTTTAAAACCAACCAACAAACGGTACCGAGCCTCCAAAAAATTAACCACACCCGTGACTTCCCACTGCAGTCCCTCATTCCCTTGTTTTTCTGACTGGGTGAGAGGACCCTCTTCATGGTGAATGTAGGCTTCTGGCAAAATGCGTTTATGGGAACATGTCGGAACATGGTAAGAGAAGCAAGAGACCAACTTGTCTGTTGTGGTTCAAAGACTTGCTGCCAATCAGCCGCTGTGGGAATGAACCACTACAGTAGGCGGTACTTCGAAGAAACCGCAAGCTTTTAGGGGTCATTCCCTCATGCCCTACTGAACACAAGAATGTAAGCCTGACCACACGGTCGAACATTCGCTCACCAAATGTGAACGAGTCGGCAGGATCCTCTTTCACCCCTGTGTCATTCAAAATAGAATACTACCCAGTCACAAACATGTACGTGTGCAACCAACTGCAAACATCCAGGTATGAAACGAAGCGCAAGAACCTGGTTTGGCCACCAACGCAGACCTGATGCAACTGCACGGGGGGAATTCCCTTCGATTCATTCTTTCCAAAACCTCCACACCAGATTCCCTGGGTTGCCATTTGGAAAGAATTGCAAACAAAAAAAACACTGGAAACCCTTTTGCGTGATGCTTCATCACCTGGGGAAACAGCAGCGTGGGTTGCGTGAGGTGGAAACCTTATACGATAACTTGGGGGTCATGAAACTCTCTGTCGGCCTCGCCTCGGCCTCGGCCTCGCCCTTTCATGGCCTGCGAGATGGGACCCATAAGATCTCAACCGTCTCAACCCCTTCCTCACGGTATGAAAGTGATTCTTTAGCCAGCATTGGGATTGTTTGTTTTGTGAACAATATAGATATACATATCGTTGCATCAACATATATAATGATTCTCCCTCTGGTGCTCACTTAGATTTGTCCGATGGCGTGAGGTGCTCGCACGCATGCCAACGCGCCTCATATTCCCTCGGCGCTTTGGAGGGCAAGACACGGGCATTGAAACGATCGATCTGAGCCGAAAGCGGCAAAAGGAAAGCACTTGAAGCGGACAGAATTCGTAGCAACAAACAAGCAAACAAACAAGCATGCAAGAAAGCAAACAGACAGAGCATCACAGTACAACATATTGCAAAAGTTAAATTACTATTCCAGGCTTGGCAAATTTGTTCATCAACCAAAGTGCAACCGCAAACAACCCCAAAATACTTACCCCAGACGATGAATCTTTGAGGGCCAGAGCGTTGTCCACAGCCGTGCACGTCTTGGTTGAATGCAAGCTCATCCCCCCCCCTCTCCCCGCGCCCTCCACACATGCTGAGGCGCCACATGCGGCTGTGAGGGCAGTGCGGTCACGAATGCAATGCTTTGCTACGATTGAATGACATACAAAGTTGTGTTTCTACCGGCAAAATGTCCAAAGTGCCATATAAATCCACGCAGGCCATGCGAAACGCGACCTTTAACGAAGGTAAGAACGCGCTTGGCGGGTAGGCATGTCTTTCCTGGCGAGGCGTCACATGACCGAGCAACAACAACAACAACAACAACAACAACAACAACAACAACAACAACAACAACAACAACAACAACAACAACAACCACCACCACCACCACCACCACCACCACCACCACCACCACCACCACGACGACGACGACGACGACCACGACCACGACCACGACCACGACCACGACCACGACCACGACCACGACCACGACCACGACCACGACCACGACCACGACCACGACCACGACCACGACCACGACCACGACCACGACCACGACCACGACCACGACCACGACCACGACCACGACCACGACCACGACCACGACCACGACCACGACCACGACCACGACCACGACCACGACCACGACCACGACCACGACCACGACCACGACCACGACCACGACCACGACCACGACACAACGACACAACCACAACCACAACCACAACCACAACCACAACCACAACCACAACACAACAACAACAACAACAACAACCACAACAAACACAACAAACACAACAAACACAACAAACAAGACAAACAACACAAACCACAAACAACACAAACAACAAACAACAATCAACAAACAACAGACAACAAACAACAACCAACAAACAACAAACAACAAACAACAAACAACAACCAACAACCAACAACCAACAACCGACAGCCGACAACCAACAACCAACAACCAACAACCAACAACCCACAACCCACAACACACAACCCGCAACGCGCAACCCGTACCGCGCAACCCGCAACCCACAACCCGCAACCCGCAACCCGCAACCCGCAACCCACAACCCACAACCCACAACCCACAACCCACAACCCGCAACCCGCAACCCGCAACCCACAACCCACAACCAACAACAAACAACAAACAACAAACAACAAACAACAAACAACCAACAAACAACAAACAACAAACAACCAACAACCAACAACCAACAAACCACAAGCAACAAAAAAGCAACAACCAACAACCAACAACCAACAACCCCAACAACCCCAACAACCCCAACAACCCCAACAACCCCAACAACCCCAACAACCCCAACAACCCCAACAACCCCAACAACCCCAACAACCACAAAACCAACGCCAACACCAACACCAACACCAACACCAACACCAACACCAACACGAACACGAGCACGAGCACGAGCACGAGCACGAGCACAAGCACAAGCACGAGCACGAGCACTAGCACGAGCACTCACACTCACACTCACACTCACACTCACACTCACAAACACTAACACTAACACTAACACTAACACTAACACTAACACTATCACTGACAAGAACAACAACAAGGACAACCACAAGGACAAGGACAAGCACAAGGACAAGGACACGGACAACCACAACCACAACCACAACCACAAACACAACCACAACCACAACCGCAACCACAACCACAACCACAACCGCAACCGCAACCACCGGAACCACCGCCACCGCCACCACCACCACCACCACCACCACCACCACCACAACCACCACCACCACCACCACCACAACAACAACAACAACAACAACAACAACAACAACAACAACAACAACAACAACAACAACAACAACCAACAACAACAAACAACAACAACAACAACAACAACAACAACAACAACAACAACAACAACAACAACAACAACAACAACAACAACAACAACAACAACAACAACAACAACAACAACAACAACAACAACAACAACAACAACAACAACAACAACAACAACAACAACAACAACAACAACAACAACAACAACCAACAACAACAACAACCACAACCACAACAAACAAACAAACAAACAACACACACAACAACAACAACAACAACAACAACAACAACAACAACAACAACAACAACAACAACAACCACCACCACCACCACCACCACCACCACCACCACCACCACCACCACCACCACAACCACCACAACAACCACCACCACAACAACGACCACAACCACCACCACAACCACCACAACAACCACCACCACCACCACCACAACCACCACCGAAACCACCACAGCCACCACAACCACCACAACCAACCAACAACCAACAGCCAACAGCCACCAACACCCACAGACACAACCGCAAACACAACCACAACCACAACAATCACAACCACAACCACAACCACAACCAGCCACAGCCACAGCCACAGCAGCAGCAGCAGCAGCAGCAGCAGCAGCAGCAACAGCACCAGTAGCAGCACCAGCAGCAGCGCGAGCAGCAGCACTAGCAGAGCACCAGCAGCAGCACCAGCAGCAGCACCAGCACCACCCAGCACCACCCAGCACCAGCACCAGCACCAACAACAGCGACAGCAACAGCCACCAGCAATAGCAACAACAGCAGCACTAAAAGCAACAGCAACAGCAGCAACCCAACAAACCCAACCCGACGACACAGCCGGGCATCAAATTGCATCGAACAGCGCAAACAGCATAAAATTAGGAAGGCAAGTGTTTTAAACCAGACAAAGCTGTAACACGTGAGGTCCACAGTAAGAACCCAAGCTGTCAGTTGAAAGACAAGAGCTTTTTTGATCCATGCGACCGATGCGATCACGCGGGTCCGCTGTTACGGCGCAGAAACACCTCGTATAAATCATGCCAAGGATATCAAGGAAGAAACCGCAACACGCAAAGCGACAGAACACACAAAATAGCAAAGCAAACAATAGAATCCGAGGCCAAGGCCAACTCGTAAACCGAAGTCTCAACCAGAGAAGCAAATGAAGTCAAAAAAGCAAATTGCCTGAAGCAACGCTTACGAATGGAAGACAAGAGTCTAAAACCAAACTCGCGAGCAACCAGCTACGAGACAGATGTCTCAAGCCCTAACATTGTGAGACAGGATCCCCAAAACGTGTAAGTAGAACAACCATCACTGAGGTCACAAAGGTGTCAAAAAAAATAGCCAAAGAGCCACGAAATCCCAATGCCAGGAGCCCCATGCTACAGAATAATTGCAGCCCCTGCACGCCAATCGCAAAACGCCTGCCGGAGAGAGAGAGCAGCAGAATCCCACTCAAGTGAGAGACCAACCAGCATCAATCATGCTGCTGAAGTTCCAAACCATGAATGTAGAATGAAAAGCGACATCCACGGTCCTGCAAGTCCACAACCGCACTGCTGCATCTAAGTCACGAAGCCACGCGAGGGGCGACCCCACAGTGCGAGGACATGAGCACCTCGTTGAAATGTGGAAGACCGGAACCACCCCGCAATACATCGCCGCAAGAATACGGCACGCAACCAACCGCAACAATACATTTTGGTAGAACCATGACAGCCAACGACAACCCACGAGCTGCGATAGAATCGGAAGCGACCGCCTGAACAAGTACATTCTTGTGAACTAAACAAAAAATCGGGAACGACCCCGCAGTACGTCAGTGCACAATCAATCGCCGTCTGCCTCCATTGCCACCATCGCGTCCCAAACGTAAGCAAACACAAACAGGAGTAGCCCCGCCACCAACTGGCGCAAAGCCAATCCATGTGTGAGAATGCACTGCGCGACCGCCGTAAAAAAATCCTGTGACATTGAGATCAACCACATGCAAGCCAGAGAGCGCAAAGCCAATAGCTGGTGCCGTGTAAGACAAAAAAGCAGTCCCGTCAACTCGCTCAGACAACAGAATGGAGAGATAATGTCGAGCGCCGTACACAGATCAATGCGTAAAGGAACCAAGACGAGAAACCATCCAAAACAGCCTTTGGCACCACATCATGCGAGCAATCCAATCCAAGTTGCAGAACTTCGCCGAAACCGGACTATGAAAGCACGCCGTATAATTGATCCTTGCGCAAAGGAAATTCCGAGCACGTGAGAGTTTCTGACGCATGCTTGGGTACAAGTCCAGTCTGGCAGTGGCCCGCATTAGGCCCGCATTAGGCCCGCGTTAGGCCCGCGTTAGGCCCGGCAGTGGCCCGCATTTGGCCTGCATTTAGCCCGCATTAGGCCCGCATTAATCAGTGATGGGTTTTTTGGGCTGAAGTACTTGGTCCTGATGGAAAAAAGCACGCATCCTGCACACAAGCGGAGCAAGGGCCCGGCGATGGCCCGGCGATGGGTTTTTCGGGCAAAATCAGAAGCTTGGAGACGGCCCAGCGCCGTGTCCGGACCGCGCTCACGTCCACCGGCGCCGTCTCGGGCAGCTCGCTGAACATCACGGGCGGCCAGCGTGGGTTTGCTGAGCTCGGTTACCGGGATAACCGGCAGCACCC